TTTTTAACCTATTTCAACCTAATTTTATGTAATTTTTAAACCTATTTCAACCTAATTTTATGGAATTTTTAAACCTATTTCAACATAATTTTATGTAATTTTTAAACCTATTTCCTGCTTTCAAACAATTTTCATAATAATTTTATTACAATGGTTTTTTACTTACTTTTTATTTTCAATATGTTAATTTCAATTTTAATTTCATTTAAATTTCAATATATTAATTTCAGTTATAATTCCATTTTATTTTCAATATATTATATAGGAATATATAACCTTGTTACTTAGGTATCGTATGTAGATTTATTAATACATTCATACGAATACATTTTCCTGTTTTCGCCATAGGAAACATTTTCAAATTCTGCAAAAGCGTCTCAAGTTTACTTTTCACCTGTAACTCCAGCATGGCATAAAATCTACACGCCAATTTCTGCAAATAACTCAAATTAAGGATCATTTGGATAACATTTCAAAAGGAAAAGGCCTCAAATTTCTAACCCTAATTTTGGCAAGAAACTCGGTTGTCCAGTCATTGCATTCATTCCTTAGTATCTCAGTTACCCATTCACTGCATTTACCCAGTCACTGCATTCATTCCTTAGTATCTCAGTTTCCCAGTCACTGCATTTACCCATTCACTGCATTCGATCCTTAGTATCTCAGTTACCCAGTCATTCACTGCATTCATTCCTTAGTAGCTCAGTTACCCATTCACTGCATTCATCCCTTAGTATCTCAGTTACCCATTCACTGCATTCATTCCTTAGTATCTCAGTTACCCAGCCACTGCATTCATCCCTTATTATCTCAGTTACCCATTCACTGCATTCATCCCTTAGTCTCTCAGTTACCCAGTCACTGCATTCACTCCTTAGTATCTCAGTTACCCAGTCACTGCATTCACTCCTTAGTATCTCAGTTACCCAGTCACTGCATTCTCTTATACACATCTAGATGTGTATAAGAGACAGCATCCCTTAGTATCTCAGTTACCCAGTCACTGCATTCACTCCTTAGTATCTCAGTTACCCAGTCACTGCATTCACTCCTTAGTATCTCAGTTACCCAGTCACTGCATTCATTCCTTAGTATCTCAGTTACCTATTCATTTACTGCATTCATTCCTTAGTATCTCAGTTACCCATTCACTTCATTCATCCCTTAGTATCTCAGTTACCCATTCACTGCACTCATTTCTCAGTATCTCAGTTACCCATTCACTGCTCTCATTTCTCAGTATCTCAGTTACCCAGTCACTGCATTCATTCCTTAGTATCTCAGTTACTCAGTCACTGCATTCACTCCTTAGTATCTCAGTTACCATTCACTGCATTCATCCCTTAGAGTATCTCAGTTACCCATTCACTGCATTCACTCCTTAGTATCTCAGTTACCCATTCACTGCACTCATTTCTCAGTATCTCAGTTACCATTCACTGCATTCATCCCTTAGTATCTCAGTTACCCATTCACTGCATTCATCCCTTAGTATCTCAGTTACCCATTCACTGCATTCATTCCTTAGTATCTCAGTTACCCATTCACTGCATTCATTCCTTAGTATCTCAGTTACCCATTCACTGCATTCATTCCGTATCGCTGGTCCTTAAAATTGCCCCTTTTGTGCATGCCATTGTGTGAGGCGCTCGAGACTTTAATATTTATGACTGTTTTAAATTTATTGCCTTAAGGATTACGTCAGGTCGTTCGTTTTTAAGGCCACCGCAGTCTGGACACTGAAAAAAAGACAATAAGGTACACTTAGCGACGTTATTTATGGCTTTATCAAAAGATTTATTGCGAGGATTATAGATTTCAAGATGGGATTTTTTTTTAGATTTAGATAATCTAAAAAATTATGGAGTAGAGATCAATCATATGATACATTTCTGAGCATGAAATAGTTCATTTTTGATGCGTGACATTGATATTAGTTACTTGTTGTTATTTCTTTTGTGTCAACTAAATAGATAGTTTTAAAATACTTATCACATTTTCTTGGATAATTTTGCTATCTATAAGCACTTAACTAGTTGTGCAGCTCTTCATATAAATCGTCAATGCCTATATCTCGCCTAGGCCTGTCTCGGCTATGCCTTTCTCGCCTATGCCTATTTCGCCTATGCCTATTTCGCCTATGCCTATCTCGCCAATGCCTATCTCGCCAATGCCTATCTCGCCTATGCCTATATCTCGCCTATGCCTATCTCGCCTATGCCTATCTCGCCTAAGCCTATATCTCGCCTATGCCTATCTCGCCTATGCCTATCTCGCCTATGCCTATCTCGCCTATGCCAATCTCGCCTATGCCTATCTCATCTATGCCTATCTCATCTATGCCTATCTCATCTATGCCTATATCGCCTATGCCTATCTCATCTATGCCTATCTCATCTATGTGCAACGGCCAATTGAAGGCAGTCCCACCAAAACTTCATCCATTGAACTAAATCAGGTTTTCCCATAAACATGACCTTGTCGTGAAGGGAAGCGATCCAGAGAACGGTAATTACGCTACCGGAAATAGGAAGAGCTCATAACACGTATAAATATTGTCTGGCGATTTCACGTCGTGAAAGGATATCAAGTTACATTTATTTTAGGCGCTTCTATCCTGGAGGATTATTTCGGAACATGTTTAGTCGAAATTTACAAGCAAGGTATTTTTTCGATATTTCTATTTTCATTTGTAGGAAAATTTAACTGAAGGTTTCATATAGGCTATCTCTAAAAATGACATTGAATCCATTTTTGCACCGAACGGTAAAGTTAATTGACATGAACTAAATATGTTTCAATTAATATTTTTGACATCAAATATGCCAGTACAGTTACAACATATGTACATATAATTTATTGGTTCCATAAATTTTCTTTAAATAAACTATACCCGATAATTATTTTTGTAATATATACACTTAAATTATATTATGTGCTCTCGAATTATTAATGTAAATACAAATTATACTCTTCGTTGACGCACTCACGTTCGTTGGGTACAAAATTTTCAGCTTTTTCTTTTAAAAAAATTTCCATGGCAAGAAAATGAAATAATTTCGCCCGTGTGAATTAAATAACCTGCCTTAACTCGGTTAATAAACACGAGAAATAAACACGGGTAATAATATCGACCGTTTATATATAATTAGTTACGTTTATTATAAGGTATTCACAGGTATTAATTCAGCCCGTCTGAATTAAATTGACTTGACCGGATTAACTGCCGACTGTTGCTCGGGATAAACAACCCATGAATCTTTAAGTCGAATTCTTAAATTCGAAATTAGGATTTTCGTCAAATTTCCCATTAGAATTTTGGATTAAGGACTAGGATATTAGAGGATATTATTGCTATAAGCATTAAATACTATACCAATATTTTCTTACCTCCAAGTTTTAATTAAACTTCTTGCGCCAGCAATAAAAGTTTAGCTTTCTGCGTTGCGTGTACAGTCTCCACGAGATTTTTTTCGAGCGTTATCAACCTACAGATTTAACTTCTGCACTTCTTTTTCTATAAAAAAGTTATCATCGGAATATGACGACTAATAGTACGAAAACTTAGTTAAAGTTTGCGTAATATTGGCTCGTGAAGCTCCACTAAAAGAAATAAGAGAGGCTTAGCCCAAAATCGATGCAGTTTTGGTTGTGTGTTGGTCATCCTGAATCATTGTCGCCCAACAAAAATACGTTTTTTACCGCTCTCTGCTCATGCGTGGGTAAAAAAATACAGCAATGTTTGGACGATATAACCCAATTATTTTTCCGAGGGTTTGAACTGAACCAATTACCTGGGTTAAAAAAATTAACTAGGACATGACCTGCAAATGGTTCTTAAAATTAAACCGAAAAGTACAACTGATTTGAAGCTGGTAGGCATGTCAGAATCCCTGCATTATTATCAATTGTTTCTCCTCATCGTCATATCTGTAATTATGTTGATTCAGGAAAAGCTTTAAAATTTTTAAAAATCCTTTTCACCAGCATCACTTCTAGTCTAATAGTCATATTTTGTTCATACTTCATTTTCATTGGTATAGTTAGCGAATAGTATAAATTTATTTTATGGCAACAATTATTCCATTTTCATATAGACTTCTCAGTTCCGCAATTTAGGTTTTGAAAACTTTTAGGATTTTATTCATTCATGTTTTAGACTTTTGCTGGATTGGATTGTACGGCACAACGCAATTGTGCATAACCAGTGTTTGAAGTAAATGTGTAATAACTTTGTCTTTTAAATAAGTTCCAACCTTCAAAAGTGTGCTTGAGTCCCCCAGCAGAAAATGCTTCACTGCTTGGACGATTTAACCCAATTATTTCACCGAGTGTTTGAACCAATTACTAAAAATTAACTCGGTCATGACCTGCAATTGGCTCTTAAAATTGAACCGAAAAGTATAACTGATTTGAGGCTGGAAGGCATTTCGGAATCCCAGCATTATATTATCAATTTTTTCTCGTCATCGTCATATCTATAATTATGTTGATTCAGAAAAGCTTTTAAATTGTTAATATCTCTCCCACCAGCATCATTTCCAGTCAAATGGTCATATTATGTTCATACTTCATCTTCATGGTATTATCTAATCGTGTTTTTGCTTTATTTACAGCCCCGCGTGTCGAGTCCCTGCCTTTGTGCCCCCGGTGCAGGCCTAAGTCAAGATGGAGAGGCCGCCCCTGACATCGCCTAATGAATATTGCAACGCCGGCCTCAGGCTTTAACTGCCCAGTCTAGGCCTAATAAAAAAAGCTCTTCTTGTACGGCTTAAGATGAATGATATCAGCTCGAACTTGGCACCAGCGCGATGATTGTGCTTGTTAGCTTGGAAGCGATTGAATGTTGATGGTTGATTGATGAACGATTGAGCGTTGATGGTTGAGGTTGATACTGTATTGAAGTCTGGAAAAATTCGAGTTAGTATTGTTTGCGTGCGTGAAAAACTTTAATTCGGTCGAGTTTTTAACCACTAATACTATCATTTCAAAAATTTTATTTCCCATTTCTCTTCTAAAAAATTAATTCTTAAGTGTTCGTTTCTTGACTTTGTCGACTGATCAAAAGATCAAAGGATACACTCCAAAGAATCATTTTTGGAGTATGTTGTTACTAAACTGACACAACTTTAAAGTTGGTGAAAAAAAACTGAATCGCAAGGAACATAAAAATTAGACTGTAAATATTACTCGGACATAGGAAGATGTTTCTATCTTCACAAAATGCACCAAACTGTCACGACTGAGAGAGAAAACGTGAACTTTTGAAAGTAACTAAATAGTGAAATAGTTGAAAGTGGTTGAAATTTTTTAAACCAACATAAGCAGCTGTGATCCAGGAGGCCACGACATCTAAAAAGACATTCACACATATTATTGTTATACAAAGACTTTCATAAGCAGTTTTTTTTTAATTATCTACCGGTAATAATGGCAGTGATGTGGCAAAACTTATTAAGTGGCAGGCGTCTGATGATGTTGCTTGGGCTGATGATTATATTCACCTCGTGTGATGTTGCGGTCTCTGAACCTCTTCAACATCACCGGTTTCAAGAAAACAGTGGAAATTACAATGGAAATTACAACCGGATATCCGAGCCGTACGCCCGCGGGTTGCTGGAAAGAAGCGCGGCCAAAGGAAGCTCAGAGTTACAAGACAGTGCGGCGCTGCCACCCAAACCTGACGATGACGTCACCAAACATGTCAACGACACGTCTAAAGATGGCGCTCCTGCCACCGGAACTCAAGGTGAGTAAAACAAGTGAATTATTGATTAAAATTATAAGTTGATTATTTGTTCACCATAAGCCACATCACATCATGATTTTGTTTCTAGATTTTAATACAGTGCCATGGCGACCCACGACAAAATTGTATATCCGATCAGTTTTTTTTTTGCAAATTATCTTCTGAATGCACATTTACTGCTGGCCAAATAATAATTTTTTATCTATATTATGCTTTGATAGTATTTTTAATCGAGATCAAATGAAAATTTTATATCCAGAGCATCTTTTGATCCTATTTTCGCTCATGACCAAATAATAATTTGATATACAAATTATCTTCTTATTGTACTTTCACTCTAGAGTAAATAACAATTTCCTGTCTAAATTATATTTTCATCGCATTTGTAATCATGGCCAGATAATAATTTGATAAACAAATTATCTTTTGATTGCAAATTTACAATTAACTCAAAACAATTTTTTTCACGATTTGTTCGAATATTTGCCGCGTAGGCATCTCGTTAATATTTGGAAAAACCTAATTTGATGATTAATGTGACCCCCATTACTTGAACAGGACAATGTTTGTAAGCCGTTGGCTTAGGCGAATTTTCGATACTCAAGTTTCTAAGAATTTTATTGAAAAGGTGGAAAGCATAGTTAATGCACGTATGATATAAGAAATATATTAGCTATCTATAAGTTTACATATATGAACAAAATTAAATCCAAGTAATCCAAATATATATATATCTAAATCAATAATGAAAGACTAATAAATTACAGCACTAAACTAACCGAAGTATTTCGCCACTAAAGGAAATTTGAAATACGAATGACCAATTAATCTCCAGGTAAACTTCGGTCGGATGACTGTAGGTCTTAATGGAAAGATTACATGAAGCGTACATGTGAAAAATTGCGATTACAATGCTTGAACAATTGAGTATACTTATTTGTTCATATTAATTTCTCGTATATTTGGTTTACCATCGCATGTATTTATGAGTTCTTTAGCTGGTCGTATGGTAGTGACTTGTTCTGATCCCTTCGGATGAATCGCGTAGGATTATTCTGGCGCTTGTCTCGTTTTTCTACGTAGCCACCATAACTAGACATTTCGATAATGTATTCGATATTATTTACGATCATTAATTGAAAAATTTTATTGATATTCAAGTATTACAGTTTTTGAACCATATAAATAATAAAAAAATTTAAGGAAACTTGTCACTCCCTTAGATGAAGAAGCAATTTTCAAACATTAAGTAATTAACCTTTAAATCAAATTGTGGGCCAAACGAGGCCATTCATTACGAAATATCCGTAACAAATTGCGCCAAAAAACAATCATCGGAAAAACGGATAAACCTAAATTACTTTCAAAAGCCCGGTAAGAGGAGCTAAGCCTGCACTATGCACGTAAAACCTGGCCTAAAATGTAAAAAAACTTTCGGCTATAACCATCCTTCTTTTTTACCTACGTGCTTGCAAATAGTGCGGAAAAGAAGAGTGAAATTTATTGAAATTTTTACAACAAATTGTATTATAGCGGAGAAAAAAATTGTGTTACGGCGTTAGCCCTAAAGCAAAATTTATTATTTATTTAGAATTTCTCCTTACTTATAAATATCATGTAAATAACAGGCTTAAAAATTTTGGATTACCGAAGAAAATTATAGCAGGCCAAGGCCTATAAGGCCCGGGCTTGGGCCATCAATTTGTAGAGTTAGCCCCAAAATACGGCCACATTGATTTGCTTACTTAATCCGCGCTCACGGCGTGGGCGTGAGCAGAATTTAAATAGCGCCATTGCCCTGAACTCAGCACCATGTTTCACGGGACTTTGCAATAGCCTTTGTAAACACGCCGTAAATACAAACAAACTTGCGGTGTGTAAAACCGTATACTCGGGACACACCATAAACACAAACTTGCGGTGTGTCTAACCGTATACTCGGGACACACCATAAACACAATATAACGTGTGATATGTCCAAATTAAAGGCCCTTCTTATGGTGAGGAATTTATTACATCATTTTTAGTGATTTAAATCGCAACATGCGAGACAATTTTTAAATAATGTATATTTTTCTTGACGCTTTGCCGTAAAAATAAATCATAAGAGAAATAGTTGAAAGGAACTAATTTCGTACGGTGAAGAGAACTCCCACTGAATGTTTACTGTGCAGCCAATGCGAAAATTGAATTTTTTTAATAAATATCGTAACAACATTTAACTAAGTAGCTAACAGCAAACAAATTTACAGCAACTTTCACTTTTAAAAAATGTGAAATAATTGGTACAAATAGTGATGCACTTTTACCCCCTGTATGGGTCATCCTTACCAGTTTGGCCCAGCACATGTGCGTATCAGTGCTACGTATCACGGCACATGATGCGGGCAAGAAAGTGTGTCGTAATTTAGACATTCCCGCTGCACCAAGTATATAAATCTTTTCCAGCCTGCGGTGAGTTTGTATCAATTGCGAAGTATCAAATATTGGACGCTGGATCACAAAAAATACCTGAACGATGATCCGACGTCCGGAGGCGAGACCAGCAAAGCTCCGCAATTTACTTTCTCCGTCGGCGAGAAATTGATTTCTTGGGCAGCCGCGCCGTTGATCTCACTTTTGTGGCGAGCAGTTGGTCTTAGGAAGGACGGCAGTTGGACTTTGGGTGGTCGACAGTTGGCCTTAAGTAGTCTGCAGTCAACCCGCAGTTGGTCAGCTATTAGAGAGCAGTTAGTCTTTGGGTGTTCAGCAGCAATCCTTCAGGTGGTCAGCTGTTGGTTAGCAGTTGATCATTAGGTGGTAAGCAGTTACCCTTCAGGTGGTAAGCAGTTACCCTTCAGGAGGCCAGCAGTTAGTTTGCCGTTGGTCAGCATTTAGTCTTCAGGTTGTCAGCAGTTGGCCTTCTGATGGTCAGCAGTATAGGGCATCAGTTAGCAGTTGTTCAGCAGTTGATCCGGCTTCAGTGCCACGGTAATATCTTCCTCAGCGAGTGACACAGCGAACGTCGCGTGTCAACTGAGATACGGAGGCTCGTTTCTCAAGACCGCTTTGTAGCTCCAGCGTCGTAAGAAATTGCCTCCAGGTTTCAATCAATTTTCCGTGCGCTTTTTACCCCGGCGTCTTTATAATATATTGCAGTCCCAGGCAACAATTCTGTTGCTGGGAACAATCCGGCGAGCTGGTAACAATCCGGCCCAGCTGGTTAGTATTGGACTATAATCCTGTTAGGTTCGAGCTTAATCGAATCGCCCGATCCTTTGCTTATTGGATTTTTTCCCGCCACTCTCGGTGGCAGCAATATTAGACAGCGCTGCGGAAATGCTGAGCGCGGAGACTGTGCTGTGGAAATGCTGAGCGAGGAGACTGCGCTGCGGAAATGCTGAGCGAGGAGACTGCGCTGTGGAAATTCTGAGCAAAGAGACTGTGCTGCGGAATGCTGAGCGAGGAGACTAAGCTGCGGAAATGCTGAGCGAGGAGACTGCGCTGCGGAAATGCTGATCGAGGAGACTAAGCTGCGGAAATGCTGAGCGAGGAGACTAAGCTGCGGAAATGCTGAGCGAGGAAACTGTCTTGCGGAAATGCTGAGCGACGAGACTAAGCTGTGAAAATGCTGAGCGAAGAAAGTTCGCTGCGGAAATGCTGAAGGAATAAGACGGCGCTGAGCAAGCCTTTCTTCATCAAAAGGACGAGGGAAAAAAGACTGGTAATCGTGAGATTCTGTTTGCGTTTCAAAATTCCTTTGGCAAAATGATCGTCGGAGTTTCGGTGCAAGATCTTGAGACTTGGGACTTTCTTTATTGTTTGAGTGAGGTTTTGGGGAATTTAAAGGTTGATTTTTGCTTGAAAAATACCATGAAGAGTTCCGCGTTTCTGTTTCGCGTTCTGGTTTGTTGCGAAGTTTTACGTTGAAAGAATCTTGAATTGTAGTCTTGCTTCAATACAGAGAAAAGATGTAATCAAGTAAACACGAGAGTCCTGGAAATTATTTTCAAAATAACGCTTACTTGCAAACATTTTAAAAATTGAGTTTCATCTTCTATAGTAATGGAAATTATAAGTCCAGTGATAAAACAATTGGATGATTTAAACTAAAATATCGCGGATCACAAAAATAGAGCCTCTGTTTCTATTTTTCATACGAGACGTTATTTAGAAAACGATTAGTTCGTTTCATGTAATAAATTGAATAATATTCGCTTCACTTGATAAGTATTCACGGAGCTCACTCTCCTATTGATAAATATGCTATCTGATCCACACTTCTCCGATGACATTGATTATTTTCCGCGAACCTAAATAAATATCAGACTCTGTCTACACTTGAAAGAAAAATGTCGCGTTCACTCACCTCTTCAGTGTTCACTCGTGAATTGAGAGAACAATTTTGTTTTCGTTCTTTCACTCTCCACTGCGAGTGAGAAATATATGGTGAAGAATTGATAGCGAGGAATTGATGGTGAGAAATTCATTGTGAGAAATTGAAGGCGAGGAACTGATAGGGAAGAATTAATAGTGAAGTATTGATAATGAGAATTGACGATGAGGAATTACTGGCGAGGAATTGGTAGTGAGGAATTGATTGCGAGGATTTGATTGCGAGGAATTGATAGTGAGGAATGTATGGTGAGAAATTGATAGTGAGGAACTGATAGTGAGGAATTGGTGGTGAAGGAATTGATGGTGAGGAATTGGTAGTGAAGGAATTGGTAGTGAGAAATTGATAGTGAGAAATTGATAGTGATAAATTTATAGTGAAGTATTGGTAGTGAGGAATTGAAAATGAGGAATTGATAGTGAGGAATTGATAGTGAGAAATAGATTGTAACGAATGGTTTATGAGGGATAGAATAAGAGGTATGACTGATGAACAATGGACAGGCCGCGGCTCTGACATTCCTCTAATGATTGTTCGACAAGCCTGACAAACCGAGGGCATTTGAGGGCATCCGAGGGCATCCGAGGGGAATGCGAACAAACAAGACTCCATTAGCCGTGAAGCTCACCCTTAATTAAAATCATGGTTGATTTATCGGCGGCCTTGCTTTAAACGTGGGATGGCCTCCTAAAAAGCTCTCATGAGATTTTTCCCCATTGGGAAAACAGAAGCTCAATAAATCTTGCTAATGAGCTTTCAGTTTCTCTTTCCCTGTAAAACTCAAGTAAATAAAGCCTGGGAATAATGTTGTTTAGTAGACATTTTAAAGTTATTGTTAGTACAGCGTAATTGATGCTGTTCTCCTACAACAATATTATTATTAAAATCTTTTAATGCTTCAGAGACAACAATTCATTATATCAACGAATTTAAACTCGCTTTCGAAATGCGTTTATGAGATCTAATTTAAAATTAGCATGTAATAAATGGTTTGTTTGTTTATATTGTATAAAGTTGAATTTTTAAACACATTATTCTGAATGAAAGTGAAAAAATTACTGGACTATTAGGTTTTGAGAATAGTTGACATACATGATCGAACAGTAAATGATGTTCTTGTATGAGTTATTAGATGGGTTAAAATCGAGCATTAATATTTCAAATTAATTTTCAAGCATGGTAAGAAATTTTTATTTAAAAATTAAGGTTTATTTATTTATAAAAATCTAATCATTTATCAGATTAAATTACAATTTTCATGTGCCACTTAAGGAATATAACAAAAAATCACGCGGAAAATACAAGCTCTTTCGATAAATATAGAAACAAGATTATCAACGATTGCACCAGTATAATAAATGAGATAATTATTATGATATTACACAAAGAATGTTTCAACTAAATCATCACAAGCACGTTAAGAGCAAAATATTACGTAATATTTTCGCTGGCACCTGCGTTTGTAATAAATGTGGTCCATAAACTTCTCCGTTTTTTATGAAACTATCACAACTGCTGTCACAACTGCTGTCTTAACTGCTGTCATAACTGCTGTCATAACTGCTGTCATAACTGCTGTCATAACTGCTGACATAACTGCTGTCATAGCTGCTGTCACAACTGCTGTCATAACTGCTGTCATGGATCGAGTCACCTGATAAGGACTATGACAGGCAAAAGTTATATCGTGAATGTGTGAAAAAATAGTGTAAAAAAATATCTGCCAAATTTTAGCTCGACAGAATGGAACAACATTACTGTTCTTCGATAAATATTTTCGCATTATCTCAAATATTTTAGTATTGCTTAATATTTTTTTTTTATTAAAAATATCCTTAATTTGCATAACTTGATTGTTTCTCTATATCAATAACACAAATATGCTTTTAAAGGTGCTGTTCTATTATTTTTCTATAACACAAGAAAAGATCGGCAACCAAAGTGTAAATTGAAATTTTTCGCTTTTAAAATGAAAAACTATTTGATTTTCCAACGAGCAATAATCTGACTATTCAAAGAAAATCTATTAATTTCTCCATTAAAAAAACTGCATGTTTTTCGAATGAAAAATTATTTTTTCCCTATAAAACTACATCTTTATCCTTAGAAAAACAGTGTGTTTCTAAGGAAGAACTAAATGTTTTTTCGATAACAAAATTTATGTTTTCCAAAGAAAAACACTAGGTTCTTCCAATAATCAACTATTCGATGTTGCAATGAAGAACTATGCATTCTACAATTAAAAAATATACAAGTAACTATAATAATACATTCATTCATTTTTCGTTCATTTTTCGTTCATTTTTCGTTCATTTTTCATTCATTTTTCGTTCATTTCTCGGCAGTGCGGAACGGAATCGTGCAGCGAGTGCCGCCCTCGCGGCCGGCGCCCATGTACGACAAACCAACAACTCATCCAACCTTCGACGTGACGACCAACACCAGGGTGCTGGCTGCCGTGGGCCACACGGCCTACCTGCACTGTCGTGTGCACCACCTCGGCGACAGGGTGGTGAGTGATGGTGGTGGTGGGTGGTGATAGGTAGTGGTAGGATGCTTGCTGCCTTGGAACACACGGTCTACCTGCACTGTCGGGTGCACCACCTCGGAGACAGGGTGGTGAGTGGTGGTGGTGGTGGGTGGTGGTGGTGGGTGATGGTGGTGGTGGTGGGTGACCTTAGGGTGGTTGGTGTCGTTAGGTGGCGGAGGGTGGAGGATCGTTTTGTGATGGGTACACTAGGGTGGTGGATGCCTGCAAGGGCTGCGGGTGGATGACAAAAGGGTGGCGGGTGCATGGTTGGATGACCGTGTAGTGTGGTTTTTTTTCTAGAACGGTGGGTGAGACTTGAGGAGAAGGTGCTGTAAGTTTATGGCCAGGTGTTTAAATAGTAGAGGTTAGAAGGGTGATTGACTGGCAGGGGTTAGAAGGGTGATTAACTTGTCCAAATCTGACGGGTGATGGATGCTCGTGAGCAAATGGCTGCATTCAAAATGATGGATGATGTATGTTGGTTGGCTATTGCAGAAGAGATGGAATATTTGCCATTGCCGAGGGTGGAGTTTCAAGCTTTCGGTATTTTTAGTGTCTCACAGACTGACTACAAATTATTGCCAAATAACAGCAAACGAACTAAAATTATCACTAACAAGTGAGATATTGTTTTCTACCTTAAATTCAAAGATTACTTCACTGACGTGCCAGGTGACGTGGATAAGGAAGCGCGACGTGCACGTGCTAACCGTGGCGCTCTTCACCTACACGAAGGATAGCCGCTTCACCGCTCTTCATTCCGAGGCTTCAAACGACTGGACTTTGCGACTTGCTTCTCCTCAAGTCTCAGACTCGGGGACTTACGAGTGTCAAGTCTCTACCGACCCTAGCATATCCAGAATATTTCAGCTGCAAGTTGTCGGTGAGTTCGAAAAGTTCACACAATGGGTGAGTCACGTAAATAATTTCATCAAAGTTAAGGGAATTCAACAGGAAAAACTTGTCAAAGATTTAGTTGAAGCCGGTCTGTTGAAATCGGTCTCAGTAACTCATCTAAGTTTTGGAAGAGTCAGCATCCGAATGTCTCGTCTAAGTTGTGTGTAGAGTCTTTGGTAAATTGGAGTTTGAAAGTTCTCTATGAGTTCCGAACTTGATTGCTGGTTTGGACTTGAAGGGAAACTTAGTTTACAACTCGAGCTGCTGTTGTTCTAAAGTGTATCTCCTGCTTCTGGAAGACCAAACAATATCCTAGGAACTCGTGGTTCCCATTTCTTGTGCTGGGAAATTTCAAACATGACTGGTTATTGAAATTCTCGAGTAGCTATTGCATATTCATGCTTACCATGAGTTAGGAATAGATGATTTTCTTTTTACTTTCTATAGAAAATAAGTTTCGCTGAAGAAAATATCACAAATGTTGAAAGGTGGCATGAAATAAGTACTGCAAATATGGATTAATATAAGAAATACAGAAATGTAAAATTATTTCTTCAATGGAGAGCCAGGAAAACAAATAAATTACTTAAAATCCGCGCATATCAGGCGATAGGCGTGCTTGAAATCAATTTATTAAGAACTAATCGTTAATATAGTTATTATTTTTATTTTCACGCTATATTGGTGTGGTACGTGAATTTTTTGATCAAATGATTTGCCAAGTAAAAAGCAGACTGGTATGTAAAGCATTATCTGTGGCCAATAGACGGTATCTCTAAGATTCCAATGTCTTCCTTTATAATATCTCACAAAAGTTTCTAGTTCGGCACTCTCAACGCCTAGCTCGACATCTCCTTATAAAAAATATACCGAGCTAGATATATAAATTGGATCTCTCTTCTCCTCATAACTTCAGAAATTAAAACCTACAGGAACGCCTTCGTTACTCTAGAAAAAAAAACACAAAAAAAGTCCCACCCGAGAGCAGTCATTTCTAACATCAGAACCCCAAACTTTTCTTATCCCCGTGTAAACACATGAATAAAATTAACCCAACATGAGCGCATTTTACTACCCCAGAAACCTAAAAATACGGTGACCCTATACCTAACCTGTCAAATTCTTTTTTTAAGCCTCTTAAGCCCAAACTAAGAGCAACAATTTCCTCGCCAATGGAAAAACCTAATTAATTCAAATTATTAAACTGTCCGCTCGCAATTTATGCGCATGGATTATTATGCTTCCCACTTCGAAGGTTCCAACGATCTGGTTGACCCACACAGGGCACGAATGGAATCAAAATTTTTACTATGTTTGTCTAGTTATTTTTTCAAAGTTCCATTCATTTCTCTCCGTGTACAGAGTCACGCGCTCACACCGCAGGCCCGAGCGATTTGGTTGACCCACACAGCACAAGAATAGCATCAAAATTTGCACATTTTCCTCATTATTTATACAAAATCCCATTCATTTTTCTCCATGTACAGAGTCACGCGCTCACACCGCAGGCCCGAGCGATCTGGTTGAGCCACACAGCACAGGAATAGCATCAAAATTTGCACAACATTTTCCTCATTATTCGTACAAAATTCCATTCATTTCTCTCCGTGTACAGAATCACGCGCCCACATCGAAGGCCCGAGCGAGATCCACATGATGAGCGGGAGCAACATCAACCTGACATGCGAGGTCTCGGGCAGCCCGGACCCGCCACAATACATCTACTGGTACGCGGCTAAGACCCTCATCAACTACAGCGACCGAGGAGGCATCAGCGTCGTGACGGACAAGCGGGCCCGCACATCACGACTCGTCGTGGCTCGGGCGACGCTCGCCGACTCCGGCAACTACACGTGCGCTCCCGCCAACGCTGAGTCGTCCAGCGTGTCCGTGTATATATTAAACGGTGGGTCATATGATGTATCGTTGTATTATATAGAGAGTTATATCGTTATATGATGTATCGTTGTATTATATAGAGAGTTATATCGTTATATGATGTATCGTTGTATTATATAGAGAGTTATATCGTTATATGATGTATCGTTGTATTATATAGAGAGTTATATCGTTATATGATGTATCGTTGTATTATATAGAGAGTTATATCGTTATATGATGGTATCATTGTATTTATAGAGAGCTATATCATTGTATCATTAATTAAACGGTGAGTATCATTATATGATGGTATCATTATGTTATATGGAGAGTGATTTAATTAAAGTAATTAAACGGTGACTGTGTTTAAAATTAATAAATGTTGAACTGGTGAACATTGACTGTTTGCGCATATAGCTGTTCGTGTACATTAAACGGTGAGTTATATGGTATCGTTGTATTATATAGGGAGTTATATCGTTATATGATGGTATCACTGTATTATATAGAGAGTTATATTATTGTATCATTGATTAAACGGTGACGGTTTGTTTAAAATTATTAAATGTCGAACTGGTGAACATTGACTGTCGCATATAACGTTGGGTTAAGCTGTTCACCTACCTAATTATTAAGGTTGATTTATCCAATTATTGATTGATACGAGATTGAAGCCGTTTGTTCATTGTTCATAACGATTATCACGAATTAACGTATATCATTAACGATTATCAAACGAAACTAAATAACTCATGTAACAATTTACCCAGTACGTTTATTCAGCAACTGAGAGATGATTCAAGCCTCATGTCACTCATCACCGATGCAGGGAGATACGAAACTAAACTGAGAGAAATAAGTGGGTCTGGATGACCCATTTTGATTAGTCAACCGCGTCCGAAAATCGATGCAGTTTTTCGACCCACTTGCCCCATTTGTGGGTCACACTGACCCTTTAAATTCCAGGCATGACTCACTTGTGGCGTTAAATCGCTTGTGTAGCCACCCGTAGCATGGATACGAGGGGAGCATCTGGGCGTCTGAGCGATTTAACGCCACAAGTGAGTCATACCTGAAATTTAAAGGGACGGAAATAGGTCAGTATGACCCATAAATGGGCAAGTGAGTCAAAAAAGAGCATCGATATTCGAACGCGTTTGACTCATCAAAGTTGATCATCCAGGACCACCCATTTCTCTCCGTGATATATATCACAATTTGGAAAATATGACCAATAATTATTCTGAGTGTCCTCCCCGATGCAGGAGAGCACCCAGCGGCGATGCAGGGAGGGGAGAGCACCGGCGCTCACTGTCTGTCCCGCATCAGCGTCGCCGCCATCGCTGTCGTGGTGCTCTTTAAGCGCAACTCTACATTTAGATAGTCGTGCTCTCTTATTGACTGTCTGCGCATATAGCTGTTCGTGTATGTTAAACGGTGAGTTATATGATGCATCGTTGTATATATAAATAGAGAGTTATATCGTTATATGATGGTATCATTGTATTATATAGAGAGTTATATCACTGTATCATTAATTAAACGGTGACGGTTTGTTTAAAATTATTAAATGTTGAAATGGTGAACATTGACTGTCTGCGCATATATAGCTGTTCATGTATATAAAACGGTGAGTTATATGATGGTGTCATTGTATTATATAGAGAGTTATACCATTATATCATTAAGTAAACGGTGACGGTTTGTTTAAAATTAATAAATGTTGAACTGGTGAACATTGACTGTCTCCGCTTATAACTCTGAGTTAAGCTCTTCGTATACCTAATTATTAAGTTTGATTTATCAAATTATTGATTGACATGAGATTGAGGCAGGTTGTTCGTTACTTATCGATTATCACATGAAACTAAATAAATTATGTAACAATTTACCCAGTACGTTTATTCAGCAACTGAGTGATGTTAACAGTTAACAGTGTTAACAGTTATCAGTTAACAGTTAACAGTTAACACTTAATAGTTAACAGTGTTAACAGTTATCAGTTAACAGTTAACAGTTAACAGTGTTAACAGTTATCAGACAACAGTTAACAGTTAACAGTTAACAGTGTTATGTATTATAAGTACTGTGTATAGCTATGGCCTCAAACAGGCTTGATTTTTTATTTTAGGCTTCAAAAGTGCAAACAAAACAAAAAATCTCGAAATAAATAACTAACAGGTACAGTTAATCAGACCATGTATCAAAAACTTGTTCAATTTTATGCTTCTAAGCAAACATTCAGGATTTCAAATATTTAAAATTAAAATTTTACATGCGTTCTCCAAAAGCATGAAGTGTATCGTTTACACTGGCTAGATGCTGGATTGCATTTCATCTGTCAACAGAGCTGTGGAAGATTCGCTCCCTAAAGAAAAGTATTCTTTATTTAATCAAGCTACCAAATTTATTGAGTATTTGATCAGATAATCTCAATTTAAACATGTGACCAATACTGAGAGGTTAATGGTAAGTCACACATTGTAAACTATAGGGTCCATATATGATGTAAATGTCCTGTCAAATATCTGAATGAATTTGTTATTGCCGTTACTATATCAACGCAAATGTTATTACAGACTCATCTCATGTACTTCATTCTAAATGCAGCCCAGGTTAAGTCTTCATTTCAAAAAATTTCATAAAGTCATTTTATTCGCTTTATAACAAACGAATTCAAAATTCCTCCTGAATCACAGAGTAGCCCAAAAGTCGTCATTCCCTTATAGTCCCGAGCGATATTTTTTACTTTAAATAAAGTATTTTGACCTCTGAATAATGAAGCATGAAATACATCGGTAAAATTCAGGGAACAGTTTGCCGGTTGTTTGAATTTTGCACCCCGACGTTTACCGGCAAGAGGACGAGGTTGTTTTTAAAGTAATTTTTTTCGTTGTTTGGTTCCAGCTTGCTTTGAAATACAAAATATTGAGTTGCAATTTTAATAACAACTCAATAGCAACTAATTATAGTTGTTATTAAAATTATAGTTTTAATAGCAACTAATTATATTTTCTCCTATTCTGTGAGGAATTTTGTAGTTCAAAAATACATATATTTAGTTTTAAAATTTTTCACAAGTAAAATGTTGCAGGAAATTACTAGGTACTACTTTTGCTGATCCAGAAACTTCAATTATATAACCGTGATTTTGAGTTCTTTAGTTTTATTTCTGTCATAGTCGCCTTTTTATAGACAAAAGTGAGGGAAAAAATTCTGTACATATTTTATTTATTAATTTCAACAAAGAAGCGCCGTATTTTACATAGCTAATCCTGCTTAATGTGTTTTCTTTTGAACAATGAAAAAGAAATGCAGACAATAAGCAAACATTGTTTAAATATTATTAGTTTTCAATAATAGCTTCTTATGTAAATACATTTATGTGAGTTTGGGATGCTCTGTGAATGTTGAAAATGTATTATCTTCCTGACAAAATACGATTGTTATTTATGGGGTTATGACATAAATGGGTTAGCATTGAATAAATTATATAGAAATTAATCAAGTTATCCGAAATAAAATAAAATTGATAGCATTCATTTTATTTCGGGGAAATTATATTAAATTAAACTACTATTGCCAAAATCTTAATTCAATTAATAAAATTTTTTACATATTTTACGTACGTAAGATGAAAAAATTATGGGAGCCCGGTCATGCAGAACAAAACATGTCGAAAAATTTTATTCGACATTCGAATTTTTATTCGAATTTTTTATTCAAAAATATTTATTCGAATTTTTATATAAAAATATTAATTCAAATTTTTTATTAAAAAAAACTTTTCCGGGGTTTTATTCAAAATCATATCGAAAGAATTTATTCGTGTTGTATTAATCTGGGACAGAAAAAAAAACATAATTTTCATAATCAATTTTAGAAACTTCTATTGATCAAATGTTAAATGTGATGGAAAAATCTATTGTACATAAATATCCTAATGTAATTCTATTGTACAGTATGTTATGTCGTAGCGACTGCAAAATTTATTTCAAGTGTTTCCTGTTCCTCAAATGAAGTTCTTTTACAAATAAATCAGAAAAATTGGATGACTTTCATTTTCCCGACTCGTTTTCATTTTCAATTTTAATTTCTAATTAAATACTGTGAAATGAAAGTTACAATTAAAGAATTTGAAAAAATTAATTTTTGAGAAAAAATTTCGACCCTAAAAACTGGAACCAGTGTAAAAAAAATAAATTCAAATAAGTTCGATAATATTATACATATCTGCGGTCTGTTAAACAGAACACTTGTATTAAGTTTATTTGATGAATATTCAAATAGAAAAACGTCTATGAAAACATCATCCACTCAGAGAAATGAGGAGTTATTGTCAAAAAAGTGATGCACATTTGGCCTTTGAGTGGGTCGTCTTGATAAAGCCTGGCCCGGCAAAAAGCGCGTATCAATTAAGGCTATTGATAAGAAGAGTAAGAATATCTTCTTATGTAAAAACATTTGTATTTAGTTTTCAACATATCTGGACAATATTACCCGTTTATTTTTTTGAGCATCGCGTACCTCAACATTGCACATAACAGCGCTCCCGATAAAACGACAACTAATAATAATAGTTAATAATAATAATAAATAAATAGTAAACTATTTATTTATTTATTAGCTTTAAAGCATAGCATGCAATATATAATTCATTGTGAATAATATAATAAATTGAGTAATAAAATAAATTCCTCTCCTTAAACTCACAAATTGTTACGCAAACAGTATTTACTTATTCGTTAACTGTATAAATATTCGCTTTTTAAACTCACCTACTGTATAACATACAATATTCATTAACAATATGCAGCATTTGAGCAATGAATAAATATTTATCTTCAAACTCACTTAGTGAGAAGCAAACAATAATTAATTCTTTGTTAACAATGTGAAAATATTTGAAACGAAACAAATTCAAGATAACTCATAATCAGTATAGTGATATGCAAGTCAGTACTTTTTAAAATAAAAAAATACACGTATGGTCAGATCTAGCGATAAAAATTAATTATCAAGTAAACGTTCGGCTGGAAAAAATAATGACATTTTTTTCACCGGTAAGCCGATATAATAGTTAAATTTTTGAAAGATTAAATTTTGAAAGAATGAAATCAGACTCGCGATATAATTCAAAAACTGAACTGAAACAATCTGAACTCCTAACATAACTGAAATTTTTGGAGCTTTTGCGAGGTTCGTGATTCATAAATGGAAAAACGTTATATATTGGGATAAGCTAACCGAGGTCAACGACGAGGAATAGATATCGAATTAAATTCTAAACGATACAAAGAGTATCATTGTGTTTGGTTCATCAAAAAGTGTTTCAAGTGTTAAATTCATCGAAAAATCTTTCTAAATTTTGATCGGAAAGTTTAATGTAAAATAGTCGATAAAGATACTCCGGCGCAGAGCTTCAGTGAAAATATTAAGATGTTTTCGTAAAAAAAATTCTTAAAAGAACTTTTCGATTGACGTAAATGAAAATCATCGACATAGATGCATTGCTTCAGTCAAAATTATCTGGATTTTTTTTTTTTTTGTAGATGAAAAGTTACCGAAAGAATTTATTCGAGCGATCAAAATGAAAATCCACCATGAGTCTTACAAATTATTTTAATCGAATCATTCAAAAAAATCCGCTGTAATAATGCTGCTGTGTTTGGCTTCAACATAAAATTCAGGAAATTTAAATACAAGAAAAGTTCATCGAAAATTCTTAATCGAACGATACAAAAAAAAAACATGTGGATGCTGCGGTGCTTGGCTACAACGTACAATTCAAGAAATTTTAATCCAAGAAAATTTTATCGAAAAATTTTAATCGGACGATACATAGAAAAACGCGTTACAGCAAAAACGCACGAATCGCTTCACTTGCTTGCAAAGCGCCGAATTAACGTAAGAAGCCTACGTGTATATTCATCAGTGCGGGAGTCGTAAAAGCCTAAAGAATTTCTGTGTTTCTGAGTCGTAAGTCGGCCTACTCTGTATTATGCAAATGTAATTAGAGTCTCAGTTGTTGAGAGAACAAGAAGTATGTTTTGGCTCCAGCCTAACCTTTGAATTGGCTTCAGCACTGAGTCTTGCCGATTGTTCATGTCGAGGAACATATAAAATTTCTTGAGAATTTCAAGCGAAATGCCCAGAAAATATTCGATGCTGTCTTCCTTTACGCAAATTCACAGCGATCAATGTAAATTAATGTAAAATAGCATGAGGGGTCGCTTAAAATTGTTTGCTTATCATTATAAAATCTGAATCAATATTATCTAATCTTAATCAAGTTTGCAGATTCAATCTCAACTAATCTCCATCAAATTGATGCAGACTTAACATTATCTAATCTTCATCAAATTTTTAATTTGGCAGACTCAA